CGTAACGAGCATGTCGTTGAGCACGTTCGCCGGGTCACCAACATACGCAATCGTCAGCTTCGGCAGTTCCGGAAGCTTGGGGAACGCATCGTCGGATTTCGGAGCGGGAATGGACGAGTCGAAGAGGTGCGCATTTTCTTGTAGCGTGAGCAGATCAGCAAGGACCTGGGTAGGGTGCCAGTACTCTGAGAGGGCATTGACAACGGGCACGCCAGCCCAGCGCGCCAGCTCCTCGACCTCTTCGTGTTTCCCCACACGAGCGAAGATACCCTGGCACATCCCACCTAGAACCCTTGCGGTGTCTCGAGGTGTCTCGTTGACGCCGAGCTGGATGTCGTCCTTGCCGAGGAACAACGCTCGGCCTCCAAGAATGGAAGTTGCGGTTTCTGCTGCAACGCGGGTTCGCGTGGATCGTTTGGAGAAGAGAAGCGCGACGGTTTTGTTGTTGAGAGACTTTTGTGGCTTCACCAGCTCCTTGCTAGACTTGGGTTTAGGTGAGAGAGCGGGCTGGAGCCAGGGAAGAGAAGTGCGCTTTAGGCTATGGGAATGGGCGACGAGCTTCCGAATTTGGGTCGGTGAAAGGTCGGCGAGCGACATCAGGTGCGGCGGACGAAGCATGGTGAGCTAGAATTATGTCTTCGCAAGTAAGGCGGCGTTTTAAGGCAAGGGATTTATCCTGCTCGAGTCAAGGATGGTGGTTGAGAAGAACAATTCGAGTCAGCCACCGCATGAACTAATTTTGGAGTTTGGTGTAAACCCCCCCTTAGCAATTCAAACACGGTCACGAGGGATGCAGCTCAATAGCATCTCTTCATCCTGCCGACAAATTGAGGGAGTCGCAGCTGAGCCAGTTGCGTAGCGACATTGCTCAGCGCTCAGCTGTAATGACTTGCGTAATAACACCCTCTTTCAGCTGCTTTGCCAACTCGCAAACCATCATTCGAACGTCATCCAAGTAACATTCCCACCGCCTTCTGCACTACGTATCAACTACAAACCCCACCACGATAGATCAAGAACAAGAGGTTTCGCATAAAAATCAAGTCCAATGAAGAAACAAGTTCAACAAACTTGAAGAAGAAAGTACACATAAGTAGGTAGACGCGACAGAAACATAAGTATGTAGACGCAGACTTGTAGATGATATGAACATCAGACGACCTGACCAACCCCCAGCGGCATCAGGCCAGCCCTCGCCAAATCCGCCGCGTCTTTCTTGGGACTCGTGGTGTTGATCATGTCACTCAGCGAAGCGATCTGGTCACCCTATCACAAAAGAGGATATCAGCAACCTGAGTGGTAGAAGAAGGTGGGAAAAGTAAACGCACCTTCTGCTCCAAAATATCAATAACATCATGCAGATGCCTAGCGAGCGCATTCCGCTGGGGAACGTTCGAGATTGCGTCCAGCTGTTCATACTGCGAGGAGATATTCACATAGATACTGTTGACGACGGTGTATCAGCACCACTCCAACAAAAAGAAAGAAGCGAACAAGATAACCCACCTCTTATAATGTGCAAAATCATCCTCCAACTCCTTCAAGATCCTCCTCATCACACTATCCTGCGTCTCCGGTGCCTGCTCATGTGCCCCCGAACACTTCCTCGCGGTCACTCTCTCCCTATGCGCTCGGCGCGACTGCAGATCCACTGGGACAGCGGTGCCTATACGCCTGCAAGCCGTGCATCGGGCCTCGTCATGCTCAGGTGCGTCGACGAACATCTTCTCTAGCCTCGCAGTCCGCATCTTGGGAGCATGGTCTGCGAGGTCGTGAGCTTGCGGTTGGTGCGAATGAATCGACTCTTCAGCGGGCGGTGGAGCGACGTTGGTATGACGCCTAGTCCCAGATCGACTGGAGCTATCGCTCTCTTGACTGTTCCGCCTTCGCTGCCGCGTTTCACCGCGCTCCTCCTGCTGGGGTAGCGGTGCCTGAGAAAGTCTGGGAGAGGAAGAAGCATTCGAACGAGGCGGAGGTGTGGACCGTTTTTCACGCCTGCGCTCATTCCCATCAAGTCGTGGGAACGGATCCTCCACCGGTGTAAAGCGAGAACGCGTCTGCGATGTCCCCTGGCTCTGAGCGATGAGCAATGATGGTGGGTCCGTCGAAGGGGTTGTAGACATGGAGCGATGTGCCGAAGGGGGAGGAGTGCTCGTGCGCATGACACCGCCTCTTGAGGAGGAGCTGGTCTCCGGGTTGAAGTTGAGTCCGCTGTGGGTCGAGTCTTGAAGTTTACAACGTTCAAACTCCTCCGTGAGACTTCTCGAAACGGACGCGTCGGGTGAGCGGAGCGTCATTCTGATGTTGTTGGGTGCGTGACGCTTGGCGGGTTTCAGGGAAGGCGAGGGCACCCGTACATCCAGGTCGATGAGATCTGGTGTAGGTCGAGGGGGGTCCTCCGATGTCGGCGTAGCGATGGGTGCTTCGTCCTCTTCTACCTCATCCCCGACAAGATCATCTTCTGCTTCCTCTTCATGTTGCTCCTCATCGACGTCAGTCATCTCCATCTCCTCCTCTTCGTCGGTGGTGTCCCGTCCACGAAGACCTTCCTCGACAACCTCTCTCAGCGTCTCGACCTCACAGGCCAGTCGCTCGACTTGCGATCGAACCTTCTCGGCTTCTTGCTCCATTGCAGCCTTCTGTGCCTGCGCTTCTGCCTGTTCACCCGCTCGTCCTTCGCCGCTTGACAACGGCTTCACAAGGCTGAGCAGCGTGGAGAGCACCCTGCCCTGCTCTTGCATCTCCAGACTCAGTCTCTCCAAATGACTGTGGAGAGACGTCACCAGAGTCTCGAGCGCTGTTGGCGCATCTGTTAGCACCTTGACCACATGCAAAATGGAAACGTTTCGCACCATGGCGTTCCTCTCGATCATCAAACGACGCATCCCGCCTCATCGACCTACTCTTGACGCGTCTGAGCTCATCCTCCAGCTCACTAATCCGATGCCTCGTCGTCCCGTTCTCCTCCTCGAGCTTCATCAACCTCTTCCTAATGGAGCTCAACGACGCCAAAATCGCACTCTCCTTCTGCGAATGCGAAGGCGGTTGCATATACTGCTTGTACCCCGAGCCAACGCCACCAGCGGCCTTTTTCATGTGGCCCGCGCTGTTCATCATGACACGGACTGGAGCGGGTGAATCGACGGCTTGAGTGATCCCGGTGAAGTCGGGAAGGTGAACGGAGCGCCCGTGGGCAGGAGACGCGTATTCGTACACAAGCTTAGTGTTGGGTGGAGGGCGGGCAGGGGAGAGATAAGTCGCGGGATAGTTGTTGTATTGCTGTTCCGGATGTCCGCGATGTGGGGAGGCATAGGCAGCTGCGTGGTCTTCTCTTCTTCGAGCCGTTCTGCGCTTCGTGGCAGAGCCTGTCGACTGCTCAACCCGAACGCTCGGTGGTGTCGCATGAACGCGTTTAGACGCAGTTCTTTGGGTAGGTGTAGGGCGAGAAGGACGGGCATTGGAAGGTGGAGGACCGGTTGAGAATGATACACGGTGTTGCTTTGGAGTGGGCATGTCGTAGTCGTATTGTGTGGTAGATGGATGGTATTGTTGTCTTGTTTTGGAAGCTCTTGTGGGCGGCGGCTGAGACATTGATGCAGATGGCAATCTGGGCCCTACCGATGCAACTAGCCGACGGTTGACCGGAGGAGATAATCGATTGGAATGAGAGCGGCCTGCGGAGGAAGCAGACGAATTCGAAGGAGCGGGAGATAGTGCGCGACGGATTTCTCTGGCGGTAGGAGTGGATGCTGAATCTCCGAGCACAGCGTTGAGATCAGCTGAATTGTCGACAACCAGTGGGTCGTATGTTCCCTGGAACCGCGGTCAGCGTCTTGTCAAATTCCAGTCAAAACAAGAGTCCTTACCATCCCCTTCTCCCAATCTTGCTCAACCCTTGCCAACATGTCGTAGATAGGGCGGTCTGGATCGTACTCTGCCCCACTCAAGCTGGCGTTGGTGGCTGTCGTGGCTGTTTGATTGCCTCTGTCGACACCTCTGCGGCGTCTCGCAGTTGCTTTCCCTCCCAATCCAGCATTCATCGTCAATGCACTGGCGTGATGTTGAGCAGTAGAGTCGGTCATCGCGGTATAACCACTCGGGGACTCCCGGATAGACGGGTCGGCCTGTGTACGCCGGTGCTGTTGTCGTGAAGGAGGTCGGCGAGCTGTGGGTTCATTGGAAGGGAATGGGCTGACACCCTCGTCATCCTCGTCCACGCTGAAATCCGAACGGTAGGACCATGCTCGGATCTCGCTGTCCTGACCCAGGCCTAGATCGTCTCCTATAGCGCCTGCTCCACGCAGCGAGCGTAGTCTCGACAAGGATATATCGCGCGAGGAGTCTTGTCGGCGTCTGGGCTGCTCGATAGACCCGTACTCTTCTTCGCCCCCTTCACTGACATCGCCGCCGCTATGTTGATGCCCTCGATACTGGGCCTGAGCTTGCCCTACACGATCTCCGTCGTCCATAGAGTAGCCTTCATCTTCCTGTTCGTTGTTGTAGAAGCTAGGTTGCGCGTAATCATCGAAGGCTAGGAGGTTCCTCTCTAGATTGATTCGGTCCCGCTCTTGCTCGTCGCCGTAGATAGAGCGAGCTGCCGAAGAGCAGGAGGACATTGGTGATGACTTTGTTGTTTAGATTTACAGGAATTGAGAAAGGCGGTAAGGAGATGAAAAAGGGAAGAGAGAAGGAGGAGGTGAGGAGCACAACGGCCCTTTACCAGGAGGCGGAAGAGAACAAGGTTGAGAAGCAGAGTGACGTTGTGTCACAATGAACAGTCACAGTATTTCTGTCAGGTGATCGTTGCACGACGCGAGCGCGCCATTCGACCGTGAGGCGCAGACTCAGGCTGCAGCGCAGATGTGCGCATCAGACGGTGTTGTGAAAACGGCTATCTCGTACATGCAATTCCACCAGTTGCTAAAGCTACCCCTGCCGGGTCTTTGGTGGAGAGGCTTCAAGTAAAGAGAGTTGGCTTACTATTTGTCCTCCCACTTCATGGCGAGATGGCCGAGCGGTCTAAGGCGCTAGAATCAGGTTTGGGAATTTCAACCCACCTATCTAGTCTTTCGGGGCGGGGGTTCGAATCCCCCTCTCGTCATTTTTGCCGGCAACTCGTAGCTAGCCATGGACGCAGCTGTAAGGAAGTGGGTTGAGAGGAAGGAGGAGTAGGGCTCCAACCGCATTGTTTCCGTTTGCAAACCCCACCATGAAGAAACACACACAGTATTAAGCTGTTTGTAAACGATTTTATACAGTGAATTTTCAAGGAACATTGAACTGTCAGAAACATGCTATTCTAAGTAGTCTACAACATGTCAGATACTGTAGCTATTTCCCCCCATACTTAAGATGAGTTCCCTCCTTGATCCAGTCTTGCAACAGCATATTTGTGACAATAGTATTGGCCTTCATTGAAGATTGGCAGTCATGACACAGATTTCTTGCGTTAGAGAACAGTCACTCCACGGAAACATTGGAAGCAGGGATTGCAAGGTAATTGCAAGCCATACAGGAGATGACAGGAAAAGGACCAGCAAGAATGTTCTTCAAATTTTATCAGCAGATATTTTTGTAAAAGAGGCAAGATGGCACTTACTTTCCACGCTGAAAGCAGATTGTCAGAGACTCTGATGTTATAATGCTCAGCAACGGTGTACCATTGTTCACACTTGGTCAGAGCAGGCCGTGCCGCATGTGTAACAGCAACTGTAAGGGGACAGTCCTATTTCTTCCATTTTCCTTCTTTTCCAGTCTCCTCCATGTATTCCTTTCATTCTCATCATGTCTCATCCTTCTTTGTGTCTGTGTTCATACTGAGGTTTGAACCCAGAGGTAGCCAGTAGGTAGATTGGTGGCACTGCAGCAAGCTGGATTCCAGCTTGCTTGGTCATCATTTTCGATGACCAAGCATCTGGTCATGTGCAGGTTGGCTTACTGATTTCACCTGCAG